ATTTTTAATTATAAAAGCAACTCATGTTCATTATTTAAAATTGAGAAAACACAAAAAAGAACAAAATACACCTAAAAAAACCCCCTACTATCTAAACACAGACACCACCAATTTATTTTCTTTTCTTCCAGTCCTTTTTAATAAATAGACTTTAAAATAGTTGGAATTATATAACTTTGTATTCTGCATTTTTCACTTAACTTTCTGTCATTAACATTTCCCCATATTATGACATTTTCTTTGAAACATGTTGCATGTGGATGCCAAGTGGCTGTGCCATCCATTCTCTAGTCTATCGTTGACCTTTATGTTGAAGTATTTTCTATTATAAACAGTGCTTAGATGAATATTTTTGTACCTAAAGATTTTTCACATTACTTAGGATGATTCACGGGAAGGGTCAAGAGAATAAACTTTTTAAAGAACTTCTGCTTTCCAAAGGGTCTGTCCCTATTCATAGTCCCGTAAGTTATACGGTTTTCTTTTTTTCTCTTTTCTCTTATTGTTATTATTTTTATTTATTTTTTGTTGATTGAAGTGTAGTTAACACACAGTGTACATTAATTTCAAGTGTAGTACAACATCAGGTTTCAACAAGTCTATGGGTTATGCTGTGCTCACATACATGAGGATTGTGTGAGAACTATCTGTGAGAATTGTGCAGTGTTCATCTGACGTATTCACTTCTTTAGCAGTGAAAGGAGCAAAAGTCAATGCTCTTACATTCACTACCTTGCTAAATCTTCACATGAGGTCTTATAGGTGGATTTAGCAGATATTAATTTCCTCTGTAAAAAAGGTAATTGTTCTGAAAGGTTAAAGGAGGTAAATAAGTTACACCACATAGGGGCAAAGGTAGGACTTGGACCAAGTTCCTCCAAGTCCCATTTCCAGGCTTCTTGCCCACTACACTAGGTGCACTCTTTGAGTCATAGTAACTGAGAATAGTCCATTAAATGCGAGCAGGTATTGAAGAAAGGGAGGAAGAAGAGGAAGAGGTTAGCTAGAGGAAGAAAAAGAAGGAGAAGGAAAGAAGATGAAGTAAAGAAGGAAGGGAGGGAGAGGGGAAGAAGAAATAAGTCTGTGATGTTCATTAATAGTAGGTGCTAAATTGCTTCCTCTCCTCCCATCTCTCCAAGGGCACCTGTAATAGGCATAACACAACTGGTAAGGGAAAAGGTGGGATTAAATCTTAAGTTTCTCTGATGAAAAAAGTAATGGCTCTTTCTCTATTTGAAAGAAAAAAGTACTACACTTTGGTATTCTAAAGGTTGGTTTCTGGGAAATCATTGGGATAGAAAGTTTTGTCTTAGACATGAAAATTATGATACTCACACCTCTCTTTCTCTTACACACACACACACACACACACACACACACACACAGTTGTCTCATCCATGTTACAATCCCAGGAATCAGGCCTTTACCTTTCTACCCAAATAGATTTTCATTAGCACTTATTCTCACACTCTGTCTGTCATAACCACTATCCAACCTTATAAACTCACGCCTACTTGGTTATGGACCTCTTCTGTAGATTCTCTTTTGGATAAAACAAAAACAAAAATAAAAACATGATCTGGTTTAGAACCTAGGTTTTTCCACCAGAGGACAACTCTTATTGATTGGGCCATTTTGATGGATAGGAGGCAGAAGTGTATGTGCGTGTGCGTGTGCGTGTGCGCATGTGTGCCCATGTGGTGTGTGAATTGGGAAGCAGGTAATGTAGTTGCACGTGATCAGAACTGGCAGTCTAGCCTAGAGCAGGATTCTTTAGAGATAGCTGGCAAAGTCTGTTTTACACATATAGAAGCTTTTCTCAGAAACTTGCCTTCTTCCAGCCACATTTTTACCTTTGAATGAAAGCATGCTAGTCAATCTCTTGACTCCCTCACATCCCAGGGCAGCAATTCTAGCTAAGAAGAGGGGATAAAATCCATCAGTACCTGAAAATTCAGGCTGTATTCATAGAGATGAAAATCATTATTAATAGTATTATCTACAAAGGAAAGGAGAACGCTGGGCGTGTAAAATTTAAACCTTATAGATTCTGATAATCATTCTTATTTCCTTCATTTCCTTGCTTACTAGATTTTAAAAAGGTTTGCTAGCTGCTGCTGAAAAATATTAGTTGCTTAATACAGTATAAGTTTATTTCCTACTCACATTGAGTACAAAGTAAATGTTCCTGGTGGCTTTCCTCCAACCGGTGATTCAGGGACCCAGGCTCCTTCCATCTTGTTGTTCTATCAACTTTAAGGAGTGGCTTATGAAGTTTCTCTGTATGTCAATGCCCATCCAGGAGATAGAAGAAGGCATTTTATTGGAGCACCAATGGGAGATTTCTATAGGCCAGGACTGGAAATGGCACCCATCAGATTTGTTCACATTCGAGTTGCTGAAATTCAGGCATATGGCTTCATCCATCTGGAAAGTTGAATTGAGTTGTGTGCCTGCAAAGAAGGAAAATAGCTGTGGTGAACAGCTAATCAGTTTTTATTAAACTGACTAGAAATAGGACCAGATTAATGCAACATGGACAACATGGCAAAGTTAGTCCTTTAAGACACTGGATATATTTGAAAATGAGTTCATTCTGGCAGTCATTACTCAAAGTCCATAGCATATTTTTCTAATTCTTTAGAAAGACTCCTTCCCAATGCATTTCTATCTTCTCTGATAAAACCAGGAAAAATGATAATTTTGTTTGGGACATAAATCACAGAAAGTGCCACTTAAGGTCAATGTTGGTTGGTGGTCTTCAGCCATATTTTACTTCTCATTAAAGCAGCCAGACTGAAAATTGTGTCTAGAAGTGATATTTAGTAAGTCTGAGTTAGGAGTAAGTCCTCAAGAATGAAAATGTTTCTGTCTATACATATTATCTTTGTGTCTCCAGAAACATTCAGAAATTCTTGTTGATTACAGCAGTATCTATAGTTCAAAGAAGAATTCAAACTGCAAGCTATTCTAACATCTGTTTTGGTTTTATGGTCAATCTGAATAGTTGTAATTTACATGCACTGGCACCACACAATGAGGCTATTTTCAAACTACTGTATTTTGTAAAAAGAAAACAACAACAAAAATGACCTCTTTGTACTTAGATGTTGAGCCGAGTCCCAACTATCCATACCAACGGAGGGAAAGATGACATGAATTACAAATAATAACGTAAGAACTCACCTTAGACCACAGTCTTACCCTCTTTGCTACCCAGCCTTTATGGCTAACTTGCATTGCAGTTCATTACCAACCTTAGGCCCATCAGAGAGACCCATAAGACAGCACAGAAAAGATAATAATGAAGGTAGAAGAGAAGCAGAGACCCTGGATAAAAGGATAATTACATCGTATAGTTGAAAATGAGTGTGGAACAGGAATTGTTGTTAAATGGAAACAGAATGCATCATGTAATCAGACCACCCAATAGTCCTAGTAAATCATTTGTGAATGGGGGTGCCTACTCCATAACCTCGGTTGGGTATTCCCTTGGACAGATATTCTTCATTGCTGGGAGGAAGCTCGCCATCAATCCTTCTGATCCTCTGCCTAATATTGCCCACATCAGTTAGGCACCACCAACTGCCTTTTCCTTACTGGATTTGAGCCAGCTTCATTTGTACTAAGTTCTGCAAATACAGAAACAATAAGCAAGCTCAAAAGCTAGGCCAGAAAATTGCTACATGATATGAGAAATAGTAGTTGTCATTTGTTGAACACTCAGAAGTCACCTGTTTGTGCAATGTCTTCCTCCATATTTGATCCCATTTTATCCTTACCAAACCCTCCAAAGGGTTCTGCATTTTTTCTGTCTTGGAGGCAATGATCTGAGGCACATAGAGATTACGTGTGTAACACTAAGCAAGTCACTTAATCAAGCAATAGGTTTGGGCAGGCCCTTAAACACTACATTTGTTGCCTTATCTCTCTCACTTGGACCTTCTTCAGACTCTGTACTCCTCACTGCTTAGCCTAGATTTCCTTTTTTTTTTAAAGCTTTTTTTCCTAAGATTTTATTTATTTATTTGACAGAGAGAGACACAGCGAGAGAGGGAAAACAAGCAGAGGGAGTGGGAGAGGGAGAAGCAGGCTTCTCGCTGAGCAGGGATTAGCTTAGATTTCCAAATGGCTTTGCTCCTGGTGCTCTTCTATGGGTTGCACTTCCTTGGGTCTCTGACATCGCTCCCGCCTCCTGGTGCTCACCAGGCTACCCACGCTCTTAGGCTGTTGCCATCCTCCCTCTGGTCTCCACTTCACCCATCCCCGAGGCGGGTGTGCCCCTGATAGGCTGTTACACAAGCAACTATAGACAGTTTCATTATGACATTTTATTAGGTTCGACACCCTTGACTACAACACCTATGATAATTTCAGAGATGTTAAAATGGGAACAAAACAAAAAGAAATCATTGGAATTGATGAAATAGCATGGTGAGATTTCCAGGCTATGCGATAAGGCTTATTCCACGAGAATTTCTTCTGAAAGAGAAGTTGGAGAGTCTTGATGTGATTTCTTTAAAGCTTTAAGTTAACGTAGCACATTTTACAATGAAAACTAATGTTTGGGAATGTGGAATGAGAAGACATATCTAAAACTCAGAGTATTTTTTTCCTTATATTACTTATATTCCATGTCCATGGTAAGCATATGGCCTGCTAATGTGCCCAAATGAGCTGTCTGTACCAACCCAAGAGGCTGGTTGATGTTCACTGTAAACAGAAATGCCAGGAAACACCTACTTGAACAAAATCAACACCTACTTTGATTTTATGATTATCTTTTTCTTTACTAATTAAGTACATCAAACTTTGCGTCTGGTTGCCTTATTTACAGGTCAATGATGCAAATTAGCTAACTCATGAACATAACCCATACCGTCTATACATACTCTTAGGTAAAGTACAGAAAAAAATAAAATAAAAACATTAAAGTTGAAAGCTGACCCTTGGTTCTTATCCCAGTTATAAGGCAGGTAATTATTTATTTTTATTAACAATTTGTCTGCATTGGTGGGAGCCCCAAGACAATGAAAGAGTTTGCAGTGTTTATACACAGGGAGCTGGGATTGGAGGACAGTAGAGAGGACATGAAGGATGTCTGAGCTCGGACAGACAGATATTGCATGCACAAAACTGATCCTGTGTCCTCCATTGGTCTAAGTACTCAATGGTTGCCCTTCAGGTACTCATCACAAGCTGGCAGAAAAAGGTGGGAGATTCTGAATACAGGAGTTCTTTCTCCTCGCCTGCTTTGCATTTTCACACAATTAAATTAAGTGCCCAGGTGTGGCATTCGATGTTGGAAAAAGCCCTGGGGCAGAACATGGCTTTCGGTGTCACTTTAGTTTATTAGCTACCACTTAGCTATTCAAGTTAGGGGGAGAAAGCCTTCAAAGCACACCTCCTCTCTTTAGTTTATGACTGATTAAGCCACCAGCAATTTTCTCTCCTCTACCCTTTATCCAGCTTTGGGAATGTTGAGCTTTTCGTACACAGGGGCCAATCTTCAGAATTGTCAAAGCATGCTGTTGAACACTATACTCAGCTCCCTGAGAAGCTGCTAATGCATCTCCACGAGTTCTTGTGAACTGCTTTCTGTACTCGGACTATGCTAGCAGCTCTGGACACACATGGTGTCCTAAGACAGAATATAAGCGGAATGATTTGCAATTTTAGGGAACACAGAGACCATTTCCCTCTTGGACGCAGGGGAGCATCCCCGTAAGGAGAGTGTATACGTGTGAGCACCCAGCTGGCCTTTCTAAGTCTGTCTCTCTGCCACAGGGCTGTATTCCGAAACAATAGCTCTGTGTCTGTCATGTGTCTGGACACTGCAGCCCTCCTGAAGGGCACAGCCAGGCATGCCAGAGGGCCAGGGAAGAGTCCACTGCAGACGTGTAACACTGCTAAGGAGCGGACCCATCTGCAGCTCCTGCACCAGAGAATAGCCCTCATCCGTCAATCACCTGATAGTCCCTGGTGATGGAAGGATGGATGAACGTGGGTGGAAGCCTGGGGTAAAGAAGGGAAGATTATGTAACACCAGCTGGGCAGCTAAGTTACCTCCCCTCTGGGCCAAGAAGGCCTCACACCTGCTTTGGGGGCTCAGGTAGGGGAATCCATTTATTTAGTCATCTGTTTATTCAACTATTATAGAATGTCTACATTGGAAGGAAGCTGAGAATTCTCCGATCTTGGCAAATTTTGTTTTACTAATCTTCACTTGACTTTTAGACAACTGTTCTTTTTTACACAGTAAATGGGTAAGAACAAAAAGGGTAACGTTTATATAAATATGAAACTATCATAAACAAGCAGTAAGACTTCAAAGTAAGAAATAAAGACAGCACTATACTGACCCTGCGGTCCTGTCGGGAAAAAGGCCTGAAATATGTATCATGTCCAGGGGTCAGCCAATTAAGAGCAGCCTTCACTAGGCGGACAGAGATTTCCAACTGGGACCCCTTTAAAAATTCTTTCTCTCCAACAGCTGCTGAGGGTGTGTGGGTGTGTGTGTGTGAAAGAGAGAGAGAGATTTTGCAGGAATATATAAGCCCATTTGTCATTTTATCATCATGTTGCATAATAAGTGATAATCATAAACCTATCAAATATCTGATTTAGAAGGAACCTAATAGATCAAATAATAGTTCATTCTCTTAATTTATAGTTGAGGAAAATGAGATTTAGAGAGTCTACTCATTAGTGACAGAGCCAGTGCCAAAGCCCAGACTTGTTAATCTTGGACATACAAATTAATAGAGGTTTGATTCATGTCTCTAGGAGGCTTACAATGTATTTGGAAGTCAGGACATGTTCAATGGGAACCAAAAATGGGGAACGCAGAGCTTCAAACGTTCCATAGTTTAATATTCTTGATGGCGAAAGGGAGAGAACTCAGCTGAGCACATCACAGTCATGGTTACAATGGTTTTCCAGATTTGTTAGTGAGAGAATTAGTGGCAGGCATCACCTAATTGCCAAGATACCCCTGGTACTTTTTGTCATGCAAAGTCCTTTGTCCAAGAGGAGAACACATTGAAGAACACATTTGACCCCCTAATGTTATGTTAGGAATGAAATAACCATCGATTCAAAACTCAGTTCCAGCTCCTACAAATTCCAGCTCAGACGATCTTTCTGGAGAGTTATTAGAACATACTGTAACTCCCAGGAATTACTAAATCCTCTAAACTATCTTGACCCCTATTCTGGTGATACTGATTTTATTGTAGCAAATGCTGAGGAAAATAAGGGTTATGGTCATGAAGTATAGCAACATAACCTCACCTCTGCTCTGAATGGTCAGATGTGGATGTAGCCCACACCTCTACCCTCACACCTTTCAGAGCTCACACTGAATTAGCAAATGAACAAGGCCACATGAGCACAATGAAATGGATTTATTATTTCATTTAGTATGGTGGAAGAGGACTAATTACATGGCAGCCAAATTTATATTTCCTCAGAAACAAGTCAATCTTGCAAAAAGCTCTTTTTCAAAGGCTCACTGTAAAGAGCCCAGCGGGGCGATGAGAAATGGCCATGCCCTGACACACCAGTACACCATGCCATCCCCACCTTCTGCTCTTGACAATGAGGGCTGAACTCAGTGTAACTGGCAGGGAGATGTCTCTGTCTGATCCTCACAGATGGACACATCTATCAGCATGTCAGGTAGGCGTCAGTTAGAGCTGACTTACGTTTTCCTCAGCTTTGGCAAAGTCATAATGACTATGTAAATTTATCTGAGGGCTGTTAACTTGTAATGAAGAAAGAAAATATGTCCTGTGCATGTACCAGTTTGCAAGATGTATAATGACTTTCTCTTTTCTCTCAACAGCATGGCATTGGCATTCCCTCTATTTCTATTATGCTTATGCTTCATGAACTCATCAAATTACTGCACCATGCCTGGTGCTGTAATGTTACCATTATCAGAATTGGTACATCAGGGAGAATAGGTGAGATGGGTTGATTTCTATTATTAAATCCAAGTGATTGCTCCATACAGGGTAGCTGCCAAAATACGGCAACATACTCGGAGCCCAGCAGATACCCAGATGGGCTAGAAAGTGTCAGGAGGCTGGGCTTGAGGAAATTTAAAGAAATTTAAATTTAAAGAAAATTAAAGAAATCTAAAGAAATATTTCCTTTTTATCTTCCTCTTTTTTTCCTCCATGGAAACATAGCATGAGAGATCACACTGCCTATTGCCCAGATGGACTTAGGTATTCTTAAGGGGAAGACTGGAAGCATTGCTGACGAATATGTATGAGGATAAGTATAAGTTTTGAGTATAAGTATGAGTAAATTTTGAGGCTGAGGAATTTTATAAGTGACAGAAATAAGTGCTTGGAGGGAAAAATTAATCACTAAGATTTGCCTCATTTGTCAGCCAAGGAAGCAGACTTCAGAGCTCTTAGGAAAACTTTGTTTTAGCTCATGTCAGTGACTACACCCCTTTACTTGGTTGGGTCTTTTCTCATCAACACACCAGAGGAGATCAGGCTGGGTTTTTAGGGAAGGGCCAGGTGATGCTTCCTAAGGTTTGGCCAGCCCCTGCCCTCCAAATCCTTTCTTCTTTGGCTGGTCAGGGGCTGTGCCTCTGCTTCCACACTGGGCTGACATCAAGTTTTGAGGAAACCCCCTTCTTTTCCAATCTTTTCTCCAGGAGCAGACCTTGGGAGGAGGCGATTTTACTATGTCACCAAATGCAAATACAGACAGGACACTGTAACTAAGGTTTGGTTGGCAGAGTGACAGGATTGCAAGGGCTGTGATTTTGCTCTCAGAATGACACAGTTCTGGAGTAAGTGTGTACCTTAGAAAACCTTGGACAAGAAATTAGAGAAGTGACTTGTCCAGTAGCGCAGAGCCACAGGTGGCTGAGCCATCCTTCACTAGAAACAGTCATAGTCACAAAGATTATGCCCTTTCTACCACTTGAACTTGTACAGGGTCAAGTCCAGCCACGGCCCTCACAGGTGGGATAAAGAACATCTGTGGATGCCCATCCAGAAAGAGAAGGAGAATGTTAGCAATCACTTTTAAATCAGGCATCCTTCTGGATTGTTTTTCATCCAATGTTACCCCAAATAATCAGTAGTAGGTATCAGTGCATTTGGGGATGAAATGGGTAATATTGTTATTAAGATTGTTTATAATTTGGGGTTGTGGGCTACAAGGTTCTGTCTGCATAGCCCATGCCCATGCAATGTACCGTCCTTGCTGCTGTGGCTGCCGCTTGATATGAGCCACGTGCAAGGCACTCTGCTGACCATCCAGCTCATGGTCATGGATCCTAGTTCTTTCATTTTATGGCAACACAATGCATCCAGCCCATAGGCTGTACTAGTATCACAATGAAAGTCTATGAATGGTGGGGAATGAAACACTGTGCTGTTGTGGATACCTTCATTTTGAAGTTTTGTCCTCATGAAGAACTCTTAGCTTATTGATAGGGATGCGAATATTTTTTTTTTTAAAGATTTTATTTATTTATTTGAGAGAGAGAGAGAGTACGAGAGGGAAGAGGGTCAGAGGGAGAAACAGACTCCCCGCTGAGCAGGGAGCCTGATGCGGGACTCGATCCCGGGACTCCAGGATCATGACCTGAGCCGAAGGCAGTCGCTTAACCAACTGAGCCACCCAGGCGCCCTATTTGTTTTGTTTTAAGCAGCATTGCATTCGGAGACGAAGAAGATAAATCTCATTCCTTTGCTGATGTTCCCACTCCTTAGATGAGCCAAACAAACCTTGATGAGGATAAAATACCCAATTAAATGGTACTTGGACCTTTGAGAGACTTTAACCAAGATATAAATGTTCTAACATATCTAAATATTAGGATGGTAGGTGAATAATACCACTTTTGACGCCCACATTTTCAAATTCCGTCTCGATCAGTTTCCTGTTCTTAGGACATTGTGAATAATTCAAGGAGCCACTTGTTTGACTTACTTTTGACTTATTTTAAAAGTTTCTGACCCACCAAGGCTCTTTCATCATGGAGATCTCCCTGGATCTTCTAAATTAATCCCATGTTGATCAATACTGGAATTTATAAAAATCCAGAAGAATATGGCTGTGTTCTGTGTCAGGGGTTGATAAACTTCTTCTGCAAAGGGCCAGATAGTAAATATTTTAGGCTTTGCAGATCATATGATTTCTGTTGCAACTTCTCAACTCCGCCATTGTAGTGTATAAGCAACCAGAGATAATATGTAAATGAATGAATGTGGCTGTGTTTCAGTAAAACTTTATTTATAAAGACAGACTGAATTTGGCCCATGGATGGTAGTTTGCAGATCTCTGCTCTATGGCATCTCTATGGAAGCATTCATTCACTCATTCAACAAATTTTTATTGAGTACCTATAATAGGCATAATGCTAGGCTTACAGGGAAAAGAGTAAACAGACATTGCTCTTACCTTTATAGAGCTCATGTGTTATCCCAGCAATAGACAAACAGTGAGTAATTACAAAGTATAATAAATGTTAAGACACAGAGGGCACTATCAATATATGTCCCCTTATCCAGGCTGTACACAGAAATCAGAATGGATCAGAAACTAGATCAAAAGCTGGGCTGGGGAAATTTAATGTAACCTATCCATATTATTGCTTTTTATTTTTTCGCCCTCCATGATTCAGTTTTGAAAGAAGTGACTTATGTTCATGCCTGAGGAATGAGTTGGAGGTAGTCTGATGAGAAAGAGTGTGGAGGAGGAGAAGACGGCACTGCAGGCAGGGACAATAGGAGTTGGCAGAAAATGGTTTCTCAGGTCCCTGAGACTTGAGTTCCTGAGTCCCGGGAGCAAGCCAGGCTTTGCAGCAATGGAAGGTCAGCCAAGAGGCCTAATTTACATGGGGTGGTGGGGGGAGGGTGAATGTGACAAGAATCAGAAGGAAGAGAGGATAGAGATGCAAAGAAATTATAGTAATCAAGGAGTTGCAGAGAAGATTAAATATCAAGTAGTCACATCACTTTATGAAAGCTACTTGCCGGAAGGCTCATTTAGTTTATTCCTGACCTAATTTACTCAAATTTGAGCCCGAAGGCCAGTACTAATTTGCATGTCCAAGAGTCACGTCTGTCTTGAAATCTAAACCTGATCACGTTGTAAATGTGAATCTGGAAAGACAGCAAATGTAAATGCCTGTTCTGAATATTATTATTTAATTGCATTTAGAAAAGAAAATAATTTAGAAGATGAAAATAGGGAGAAGCATTAGCAACCAGCATTAATTAATGTTGGCAGAATGGATTACATACTACATGTCAAAAGTAAACGCTAAGTGACATTCTTCTGTAACCACTCTTTTAATCTCACATTGCAATACTGCCCTGGGGTCTGTTGTAATAGAAGGTGCAGCCACAGACTCCTTCCTTGATCCCTGGTTTGAATAGGTAATCTTGGACAATATCACTACCTGAACTGCTAAACTTGACAAGGAACTGGCCCAGGAGCTCCTCAGCTACAGCAAGGGAATCCCCCCTTCCCAGTCCTCATCAGACATGTGATGTGTACCTAGGATTTTTATGAAGGTGACAAGAAGTTACAAATTGGGAAAGCAACAGAAAATTGTTGCAACCCTTTGTTATTCAAGGCCATAATTTACATTAAAAACTCTGCTTTAGAAAATTAAATAGTTGGGGATTAAATAAAGGAACTGAAACAGCCTTTTTGACTCACTAGAGCATAGGAATGTGAAGACATAATAAGCAGCAGAGAAACATCCACAATGAATTTATATTGAGAGTGGGTTTAATCCTCCAAGAACAAATCAAATACTAAAATACAATTAGCGATGTTAGCAAAATCTTATCTCTGTTTATGCCTTTAATTGAAACTGGTGATTCTGGGAAAAGAGGAAAAGCTGATTCTATGTTTCTGCCATTTTAAGTTACATTCTCCCATGCCTCAGAAGGGATCTGGTACCCAGGGAAGAGTAAGGACCAGAAAACGGGGAAAAATATTTGCGGGAGGGAGTCTAAAAGGATGGGTGGTCTCAGAATGATACTTTTCTCTCTCAACCATGAGGGGGTCCCGAAATCAGGTGATTTGCCATGTAGTAGCTCTTGCTACAAGGGGTGGGGGAGGGGCCAGGAGAAAACACCCTCAAGGGCAGACTCTGCTCATTCCGGAAGAAAGAACCTAAGCGGGATTGTTACCATTCCTTGAAGGGCCTTCTAGAAATCCTATAATGTTTTTGTGTTTGGGTATGTTCATCAAATTGCGTATTATCTCATCTTAAATCATGTTTCTTTTCTTTTCCCTTGGATCAAACTTAGGGTATTATATTGAATTTTTTAAAAAATTATGTATGGAGACAGGTTATGTTATCTACAAATGTTACTTCAGGTTAGTCAAAGGGGTGTCAGTACATCTATGTTATAAAATAGGAGGCATGTTGGGTCTGATAGGGTTGAGACTCTGTCATAGGCCACAGCCCCTTCACTGGGAGGGTCACTGATAGGTTTCAGCCAGAGCTTGCAAATGGCAGCCTGTTGGAGTCAATGTTTCCTTTGGCCTGCACAGTATTTTGTAAAATGTGAATTATTTTGCCAACATTGAACATTTCTGGAGGTTTCGCATGAAAGTCCAGATTTTTGGCTTCTGGAGATAACATAACATAAAAAATATAAAATAATATATGCATGGCAGCCCTGGCAAGACCCCGCCCACGTCCAGGCTACGTTTGCTAAAGGTGAGGCAAGGCTGTCCCTTCTCTTCAGACCAGGCAGACCTCATGGATGTTACCTGCTCGCCTTCTGGGACATCGGAGTTTGAATTGGCTTAAATAACACTGCATTAGAGGTGTTGGCAGGCAGCACTGAGGAGGAGGGAACAAGGAGAAGCAGACAGCCAGGGTGGAAGTAGTGTGTAAGAGGAAAGGGAGGAAAAGAGTGGAAAGGGAGCCAAAATGGGGACTGTGCAAATAATGGATGGTGACAGAGTGTGTCAGCCTCCCTGCTTCGATGCCCCCCTCAATCGGGAGCGGCGCGGGCAAGATAGCATCAGGCTTTTCTCCACTTCCTTCCGGCTCCACTAGCTGACACAGGTGAAATTAAATGATAAATGAACCCCGAGAGCAGCCTAGCAGGGAAAAAGCGATCACAAAAGGGTGGCATGCAGCCTGAGACATGTGTGGCAGGGGAGAAAGGGGACAAGTCAATTGCCTATATACAGCTAGCACTGTCCTCACAGAGATGGAGAACTGCACCGTCCAAACCACCCTCCTGATCCTCAATAGCTTCAGGAGGCTTGAAGCTGCTGCTTCTCGGCCAGCACCTGGCCCTGAGCCATCCCCCCGTCATGGAAGCAACCTGAGATTTTCCTCAAAGGGCAGATCTCCTAGCAGCCCTCTGGTGGGTCCTGCTGTCCCAGTACAGTATTAGCTGCTGTGGCCACCCAACGATTCTGCCCCAGAGCTAGAGCGCTCAACATCGTGGCGACTCCTTTCTACAAGAGACTCGAGCTGGGCACAAGCCTTGCTCCAGGTCCCTTGATAGGATGATTCAGATGGCTGGATTTGTCCTACCAGGAGTGGAGACCCAAGCATTAGAGTTAGCCATCGAGCACTTGGGTCCCCAGCAAGCCCCTTAGTGATGCTGCTGCCACGCTGGTAGGACATCAAGTTGCTAAGAGTTCTCCACTCTCTTTTAGGCCAGGTCAACTAGACGGAGCATTGTGGTCCTTTTCCAGAGAAGAAAAGTTACATTGCTTGAAGAGAGCATATAAAGCCAGAGTGCAAACTACTGAAATGGAATCGGCAGTGTTTGTGGCTGCGTGTAGATTTTGTGGTCTGAAAGGTGAGCTATTCATGAAAGCCTCTGGTCCAATTCTCCTTTTTCATGAAATTATTTTCACTTCACAGGAGAAGAAAAAGGAATCCACCAATATATTACTTGGGGTTGAAGGCATGCCTTGTAATTGCTTATAATATCATCATCATATCTTGAGGGAGGGCAGGACATTATTCTCACTATGCAATTGAGAAAACCAAGCCTCAGGGGTCAAAAGTGAGTTGCCCAAAGTCATGAAGGTTATCTAGCCAGGACTTGACAACAAGTTCCACTTTCTTGATCCTGGTAGTGGCTGCTATTTTCTATTAAAATTAAATTTATCAAGACATGATACAAATGAAATATTCCTAAAACAGTTCATCAAAGGACAAAACATCAATGGAGTAGTAGGTTTTTAAAGTTAATTTACATGCATTTTTGCTTTTCCCAACTTTTTATTTTGAATATTTTTCATAATTCAGAAAACATTTAAAAATAGTATAATAAATACCTATGTATGCTTTACCAAGATTAATTTAATACTTTGCCACATTTATGAATGCTCTCTAAATATTTATATATACATATGTACATATATGTATGCATATAAGTGTATATAAATATAAGTATACATACATCTATTTGCTTTTTTCCTGATTCATTTGTAAATGAATTGCAAGCATCATGCCACTTAACTCTTGTACCTCAGCATCATTTCCTAAGAATAAAGATATTCTCCTAATAACCAAAATACCATTATCAAACCAAAAAAACCCCCAAAAACCTAAGGAAAGTAAAAATAGCTTCATAACATCACTTAATATCCATTCCATATTTAAATTTCCCTAGTTTTCCTATATTTTTTTATAGATTTTTATTCTTACTCAACATCAAAATAACTTCATACATTATATTACTTGGTTGTTATATCTCTGTCCTTTTTACATCTAGAATAGTCCCCCTACTCTTCTTTTTTTCCCTATGACAATGGATTTTTTATTATTTATTATTTATTTATTTATTTGGATTTTTTTTTTTAAAGAGTCAAGTTATCTTGTTGAATATACCATGTTCTAGATTTGTCTGTGTGTTTCATCATAGAGTTTCACTTGTTCATCTATACTGTGGATTTCCTGTAAGTGGAAGTGGAATTTAGTGGCCTCACTAGATTCAGCTTTATCGCAAGAACACTCTATGGCAACGTAAACTTCCGATTGTACCACCTCAGGGAGATGTAATAATGTGAAGATGTCCCACTACTAGTAATTTCAAATTGGATCACTTGGTTCAAGGGATAACTGCTATCACTTTCCACTGAAAAGTGAAAGTTTTCTCTTTGTGCAGAACAAGTAATCTCTACATGAACACCCTGTAACCCAACTATCTTTTACCAATGATTTTAGCATGGGTTACAAAATGGTGATCTTTAATTCTATCGTTCCCCCTCCATTTAGTATATGTATTGCTGAAGCGAGCACCGTTCCCCCTCCATTTAATAGGGGCATTCTGCTTTAAGAAAAGTTTCTTCTCCTCACACCCCTTTCTCTCTCTCTCTCTCTCTCTCTCTCTCTGGTAGTGAGGGGATAGTTATTATTGCTTTGTGAATTTAGTTCAAATCAATGTGTTATAAATGGTTTCTGTCATTGTTTTTGATACTCAAATTATCCCAAATTGGGCCAGGAAGAGCCCTTTCTAGCATACTCTTTGATCCTTTTGACATAATCCTCTTAGCTCTTGAGAATTTTCTTGCTTTCAAACACAACATGATTCTCAGGCACAACTTGCACTTTCCTTGCCTCAGGTCTGGAACAAGCCATTTCTCCAAGAAGCTCGGGTTCCTCTTAGTGGAAATGGTAATAAGAAACCAAATATGAGTGTGCCATGCATTTTAATTTTGGGTGAAATTATTCTAACCTTTAGCTAGCACCAAAAAAACCCTGATGAAGTAAAATATAATTTCCATGAGCACTCATCAGAATAACTATTCTTTGGGATATTCAATTATTTTCATAGTTATCCTCTAGATTTCAAAAATTGTAAATTTTACTGATGGAAGAAAATAAAGCTATAAAGCGAATAAAATTAGTTTTCAAATAAAATAGTCTTCTTTAAGTTGATTTATTTTTTTTTATTTTTTTTTTCATTAAGTTGATTTAAAAAGCCTCAGATCTGAAGCAGAATAACACCATCTAAAATAATGTTTTTAGTGGAAATCAGTCTCCAAATATTGACAGTAATATCCAAGAAAATGTTGGAGCAATTTTTTTTGGATCCATGGTTTTGCATTTCACATGGCAATTGTCTTTTTTTTTCCCAAAGAAAAAAGAAAGAAAGAAAAACAGGCCATAAAATATCTCATCATTTCAAATGTGTTTTAGAGCATGCCTACTGAGTACGTGGTACAATACTAAGAAACCTGGGGTTTTTTTGTGTTTGTGTGTGTGTGTGTCCCAATTCTTTATTTTTTATTAATTTTATTTTATTATGTTAGTCACCATACATTACATCATTAGTTTTTGATGTAGTGTTCCATGATTCATTGTTTGCGTGTAACACCCAGGGCTCCATTCAGTACATGCCCTCTTTAATACCCATCAACTGGGCTAACCCATTCCCCCACCCCCCTCCCCTCTAAAACCTTCATTTTGTTTCTCAGAGTCCATAGTCTCTCATGGTTTGTCTCCCCCTCCGATTTCCACCCCCTTCATTTTTCACTTCCTACTACCTTCTTCTTCTTTTTTTTTCTTTTAACATATAATGTATTATTTGTTTCAGAGGTACAGGTCTGTGATTCATCAGTCTTACACAATTCACAGCGCTCACCATAGCACATACCCTCCCCAATGTCCATCACCCAGCCACCCCATCCCTCCCACCCCCCACCACTCCAGCAACCCTCAGTTTGAGAAACCTGGTTTTTAAATCAGATCTTTTGTTAGTAAGATTTATCTCAATTATTATCTTCTTAAAGAAAGAAGGACTTTCTTTTTATTTTTAATTAATTAATTTATTTGAGAGAGAGAGAGCACACCCATGAGAGGGCGGAGGGGCAGAGGGAGAGGGAGAGAGAGAGAGAGAGAATCCCCAAACAGACTCCTGGCTGAGCATGGAGCCCAATGGTGGGCTCAATCCTAGGACCCTGAGATCATGACCTGAGCCAAAGTCAAGAGTCAGACACTCAACTGACTGAGCCACCCAGGCACCCCAAGAAGGACTTCCTTCTGTCCATCAACTAGTGGACTGAGTGCCCAGGCACTGGGGATTTAGCAGAGGACAACACAGACAGTCTCTGCCCCTGTGGCATCTAGAGGGAGACAAACAATAGCAAAGAGTGATGTAGAGTAACAGTAATATGTTAGCTGCTGAAGAGGCCTATGGCAAAAATTAGGACAGGGAAAGAGAACAGGGACAAACAAAGCAGGAAGGAAAACCACAATTTTAAATCACATGGTGAGGGAAGGGTGCATGGAGAAGGTACTATTCAGGAAAATGGCACATGGGTATCTGGGGAAGAGCCTGGGACATGCAAATCAAAGGCTGCCAGCCAGGAGCATGCAAGGTGTGTTGTAGGAACAATGAGACCAGTGTGACTGGAGGAGAGACAGCAGTGCGGAGTGGGAGGAGAGAGGGGATGCAGACTGTGTGGTCACTGTGAGAACTGTGTCTTTCACTCTGAGGGAAACGGGAAGCCATTGGAGGGTTCTGAATAGAGAAGTGACCAGATCTGACTTGGATTTTAACAGGAGCACACTGGCTACTGAGTTGGGAAGAGCCTACTGGGGGGTCAAAGTCAGAGGTAGGGAGAGAAGTAAGAGGGTAGTATGGTGGTCCAGGGGGAGATGACGGACCAGGTAATAGGAGTGGAGGTAGTGAGCAGTAGTCAGATTCGAGTACATTTTGAAGGCATATCCAACAAGATTTGTTGACAATTTGATGTGGATTTTGAGAGGAAGACAAAAGTTAAGAACAGCTTTTAGGTTTGGGTCCTGAACAACAAGAAGGATGAAGTTAACATAATTGGATTGAAGAAAGTTGGATGCAGTGGACATCAAATGGAGGCTGAGTAAGCAAGTGGATTTATGAATCTGGAGTTTGGATGAGAAGTTTTGGCTGGAGAAGTAAAATGTAAGTTGACAACATAGAGATGGCATTTAAAGCCACACAGCAGATGAGACAACAAAGCAAATGAATCTAGAAACAGGTCTTTGGTTAGATGTGAAAAGTTAGGGGAGGTGAGGGAGATCCAACAAAGGCCATGGAGGAGTGACCAGGGGAGTTGGCAGTACACCTGGAGAGTCTGGTTTCCCGGCCCCCAGAGAAGAAACCTCCAAAGAAGTCAAGAATTATAACATGTTAATGTGTCTTTTGATCACAGGTGGAATATTAATTCCAATATTTGTCCTTAGAGTCGATCAATTTTAATACATAAAACTACAAACAAAATATATATGGTAACATTTCTAAAAATACATTTTAGAAAGAAGTTACGGTTCATAAGAAGAGATTAATTGAAGGACCACTATGCTTAACTACTCCCAGCTCTCAGAATACACATACATGCAGATCCTTGTAATATATGGGTGAAGAATGCAAATGCATCCTTACCCTCTTTAGAAGGTCATCATTAACACCCTTTTCTCTCCACAAGTTAGTGAGAGTCAGAGCTGCAGGTGGTGACAGCTTGATCTTGACCTGAGCAACAGTCCAATCAGCACACAGCCTGTAGGAAGACCTGGATTTAGACATTTCTGCTCCAGGAAATGCCTCTTCGTATTTCTTTAGTATAGAAACAACAAGTGGTCACTTGAGCCACGGCGCCACATAATATGCAAATGGAGAATCTGATAACAAGTTTATTTAGACAAAAACTGCCTCCTTCCAAACGGTGCAGCCCTGGTTGTAAGTTTGGGGATGACCATCAGTTTTTTCCTAAGAGGCATTGATTGGCAATCAGGAAGAGCGCTAGGCTTGTGAACCCTAGACCCTGATCTTTCTCTCTTTAAGGATGTTGCCAAAACCCCAGAGAA